TGACTCAGCTCATAAGTAGGACTCTCTGAAATCTTCAGGTTTCAGTTCACATCAGGAATTATTGGGACCAGTGGTCAAAGGAAAGTGAACCAAGACAAATTTCATGATAGCTGCTGTAAATCTTGGTTTTCTACCATGCCTCCACATGTATGCCTTCTTCAAAAAACATTAATCCCCCATTCCTCTGAGAGGGAAAGGAGGATAAGAAAAAATTACTTTTCCTCTATTTTCTTCCTTACTCATTTTCACAGGAAAAATCTCTTTTTTCACTTTAAGGGTGCTTAGCATTAGGAAGGAATTGGTCTGTAAGCAGCACCTAGAGCAACTCTTCCCAGCCAGATCACGTTTCCTCTTTCCCTTTTGGTGGAGGTAGCTTAGAAACCACTTTCTCAAGGACCATGCCTTAGCTTCCACCTTTGCTTTGAGAGAAATTCTGGTCCTTTGCCTAAGGAAACGCAGGATCTCCTGTGCTCTGAAAGACGGCTTGAGGCCTTAGATTTTCAAAACCACTGCAGACCTATGAAACCACAGAGAACTTTGCTTAAAGTTCCTCATCTCAGTGATACACACACACTCAAGTCCTGACCAAATACCTGGAAGATTACATCTCTAATACATCTGAAAATTTACTGTGAAGCCTTAAGATATATGTGTTCACATACCTTTAGATTAGAGAGTAACTTTTTCCTGGTAGCTGAATGAATTCACAGCCTCTCTTAGTGTGGCGAATGTGAATTAATTTCATAGCACTAAGTTTCATAGAATTAAATTGATTCTAGCACTGCTTGCATATGACATGCCAGACATGGCCACATTTTAATCCTCTGCTGTTCATGGAAATAAAGAGCATACGCCTTTAACAATTCCACTAGCCCAAGCTAATCTTTGAATGGAATAGTTGTCATTAAGAGACAATATCTATATCCAAAATAAGAAAGCGGATCCATTTCTATTCCATATATTGTTTTAGCTTAGCAGCTTCCTCCCACTAGTTTTCCTTAGATCAACATGACTCAGAAATGCCTCTGCAAGTGCAGTTCTCCCATGCAGACCTACATGCACAAGCAGACACCCTAGAAGATATAAGCGATCCAAAGAGGGGATAGAATGATCAGAGAGGAGATAAATATTTGAAAAGAAGATAACAACCTTTTAGGACAGTTCCCACAATTCTGGCAAGTAAATGTGTCTGATATGAGCACTTCAGTCACGCACAGGTAGATGACACATTTGTGTGTGGGCAGAGGATGAAATTGGGTGTGGACTGCGTGCCTGTGCAATGGGTACAGTGATAGGTCTAACTCAGCACCAGCAGCACTGAGTCACCTGTTCAGAGTTCCTCACCATTCCCTTTATGACATGGAAAAATCCTGGCTGGATTGCCTGAAAATTTATCCTCACTGACTAGGGCCCATTCTGAGAGAAATGTCAATGTCACAGCAGGGTTTCCACATACTCAGAAACACTCCCCAGAATCCACTGGTTAACACAAAGAGGGATTATATATTCTTACTACAACACTGAGCACTCAGAACAGTTATATTGTCTCATTCATCCTCTTACAGAATGAGTGTAGATGAAAATATAAAGGCTTTGTAAGTATCTGAAGGGTTACTTGAAAGACTGAGCTCAGAAGCAATTGGAAAACAAAAGCATCTAAAAGTATGGAAGTGTGCAGAAAGAAAGCAGTATCTAACTTTGTGTGATGATTGCTATGATCAGTGAAGATACTTTGCTTACAGGAGCAAACAGTTCTATGTTCTGAAATCATGCTCAGCGTCAGTTTCACATTCTCTTTTGTGTATCTTTTCAACACAACTTGGTAAATTATCTACATGCCGGTGAACATGAAAGCATGATTTCAGACAGGTACTCCCTTATCCTCAAAACAGAAACATAACTGTGGCCAATTTTAACAGCATGAGCCAAAGAAAACCTCAGGAAATCTTATGAAGTGACAATGTCACAGAATAACACTATAAGAAAGATAGCTGATGTTGCTTTACTTCTCATACCATCAGGCAGACTATGGTATATACCTGGTCCAAATAAATATTCCTGATGTAGCAAGGAAGGAACAAAAATGTTGTTACTGCATAATTTCCAGATGTAGGTCTTGACCACTTGACACAGGAAGTCAAGTGTGAAGCAGCATAGAAGAATGAATAATGAGCAGCAGAAGAATTATATTACCCACACCACTAACAAACAATGGGGTGGGGGGGTGAAAGGTGGTGCTTGTTAGAAGAGGTGATGCTTTATACTCTCCCCCCAGCAGATTAAGCATGTATGTTCCATGGCAAGACAGACTGTAGGGGGTGAGCAACAGGAGCAGTGGCTAAAAGGAGAGTAGGGACTAGTCCCCTCTAGTCAAGGAGCAACTGACTAAATGTGCCAAGAGCAGGGCTCTAGGCTGGACATCAAACAGCTTTCTGTCCACTCCTCCTGCTGTCCCGCAGAAGCAGCTTCTGCATCAGTAAAATATTTCATATCTGATTCCCTATACAATATTGGTATCCTACTCCTCTTGACATCTGGCTTTGTAGTAATCTCAACTGGTAATCAAGTTCTCAGAGAACGGTTTGTCTGCTGAAGAAAGCATCACTCAAGTGCACAAAACGCTGGGTAACCCGGGGCTACACACCAACAAGACCTGCATTTGCTTGTCTTGTACTTCAAGAGCAGATGGCATTCAATATACTGAAGGGGGTAAGTCAAATGTTAAGACAAAATACTTCCTAGGAGAAGGCAAAGTTGAAAACCACTTGTCAAAGTATGCCACAAAACCAAAAAATTTAATATATCAAAAAAGAATGTGATAACTGCATGGCTAGGAATGTTCTCATGTGTTACATAAAAATATTTCTAAAAATAATTAAAGAAATAGTGCAACAAATTTTCTATTAAAGCTTAGTGAGAATCACAAAATATCTCCTTCCTGCTTAATACAAGTTTTCTTTTTCTTTTCTCCGAAACAACTGGAGACCACCACCATGGGAGACAGGGAGCTGAACTGGATGAACTCTCTGAATCTAACTTAATCACAGTTTCTATTCTCCCTAAAAAGCATGATCAAATGATTAATAAAGAGAGTGTGCCATAACTGAGACATAGGCTGATCCCAGAAAGTGAGTCAAACCTGAAAGTTCACCAGCACAGATTGTCATATCAATATCAAAGATCAATTTGGTCAGAAGGTTCCCAAAACAGAAGTCAGGGTGAATGACTAAAATCTGGGTAGACAAGATCCTGCAGCAGCCATCAGATAAAATCAGTTAAAAATGCAGTTTGTTATGGAAGTCAGCCAACTCACTGCATGTCCCAACAATGGCACCCCCAAAAATGCAAACAGCAGCTGCATCTAAATAGAGAATTCAGTTCTTCCCATACACCCTGGTTGCCTCTTATTAGTATCAAGCAAACACACATTACCATTGTTTGTAGAGGTCTGACAACAGCAGCCCAAGCAATGTCCCAGGGTTTCCTTGTACCCCCCAGGCTCTCTGTGCCCTCCACTGTCTTTACACAGCAGTTGGACTGTAAGCTTACTGCAAAGGGAGCTGCCTGTTGTTCTGTTTGCAAAAAATGTGAGTGACAACAGCAGTAGGAAAAATAAATACAAACGGTATTACACACACATGCAAACATCCCCATGGAAAATTCAGCCATAAGGTAAATACCAAAATTTTGCTTGACACCTAGATATTTATAAAATCAAAGAGACCTAGAAACAGAAGAAAAAAAGAAAACAAAACAAAACACAAACCCAACACTTATCCTTGCCAAGACCTTCTCCCAGAGTGGACAGCCCCAGGGGCTGAGATCTCAGCTCTGCTCCAAACTGCAGCGGTACCTTCACAATGGGGAATTCCCAAAACAGGAAAGATACCCCAGAGCCACAAAGCCAACAGATTTGGCTCCCGTGCCAGACTTCCTCCAGCTGTCAAGGCAAAAAGCGTGTCATGGTTGAAAAACCCGCTGTGTTCTGGCTACTCCCCACTGGAGCTATGGTGGGCTGAGACAAGAGGATCTTGAGGGCTCTGCTGAGCATCCCTGGCCTGAGATCAGAAACATGCTTCCAGCCCCATCTCATCTGCTCCAGTGGCATCCAAAACTGCATGATACTGCAGACAAGGTCTTTTATCAGTCTCTATAAGCCTTCTACCACCTTTTAGGCAGTAACGCTTTTATGGCATTACTCATTAATAGTTCACCTGTTGCTTTGCTGGATGAACTCCTCCTTGCCACCATTCCCCTCCCATCAGAGCTATACTTGTGGAAGATATAATTTGTTTTCAAGGTGCAAGAAAAATCCTTTTAGGGCCAGTACCTTGCTGGAGGTTATAAACAAGCTGCAAACTGAAGCTTTAAACAAGTCACTACATCACTAACGTTGTATCTGCAAAGGATGGGGTAAGCCATCAGGAGGGGAGGTTTTACCTGTTGATGTAAGAGTGAGTAGAGATGTTATTTGCAAACTATTCTTGACTAGTATAAACCTAGGTTTTAAAAAGTCCCGTGTGGTTAAACAATGACTCATGACTGATCCCTATCTTGCCTGTCAACATTCACCATTGCTTTATATCTATATTATTGCTACAGCACAGCAGACCATGACAAGGGGCGGAAGTGAAAAGCATTAATTTACAATGCATCACCAGTCACTCAGTTTCTGTGCAAAACAGAAAATACTGAGCTAGTGAATATTTAATGACTTCTTGGAATAAAATTTAAAAAGAACTCAAGTCTTGAGTTTTTACCACCTGCAAAAGAAGAACTAATTAGAGGAACACAGGCAGAACATTAACAAGGTCTTTTAAAAACCTCCATTGGGTTTATTTTCATCCAAGTCTACTCAAAGCAGTTCATGTATGCTTAAATGCCCATGCCTGCACATGTGTATAAAAATGCAGTGCAGCATCCCTCTATTGTGGCCTCCGTTCAAATATAACATAATTCTGCAATCATTCAAGACAGCCGAGAGACAGACCCAGCCTTACCTTCCTAATTGCCAGCTTCTCTTCACCTTTTGAAATCGAATCCTCATTTCTGTCTCTATGGTGACAGTGACGTCCAGGTCCCCTTGATGAGAAGGCTGCTGGCACACATCAGGTGCCAGAGCACATCAGCACCACAAGCCTTTCCAGCTCCTCTGTGGGACACTATGCTTTTCTCCAAAACTGTATCTAACGAATGATAAGGTAAAGAAAACAGTGTTAAACCACCATTTCATACTTAAAGAGAGGGAAACTGGGTCTAAATAAGGGGTCTAAAAGCTTTTTTTATTTTTCTCTTCAATAATAATTGCTGCTACTCCAGAAATCAATGTGATGGCACTGCTATCAAAGAGCGTATCTGGATAACTTACACGGAATGAAATAATTACAGGTCATTTCTCCCAGAGGGTTTGACAATAAATTTGCGTCATGAAGTAGAAGTAGCTGATAAGCAACATGATTAAAACCTCCTACAATGTCCATCCACCTGCACATGGAACCAGCAGTGACAGGATATTTCTTGGCTCCTGGTTAGTGGAGAGAGGAGCAGGAGGGAAGATTTTTATCAAGTGCTAAGTAAGGAACAGCAGGTGGGACCTGCAAAGGTGCATCTTTCCCTCCTTAGGAAAGACACATTGAGTCACTGGGCTTACAAAACACCAGCTATTATATATAGTCCTAGTTATTTTTTATGATGCATATACCTAGCTGTTGTATAATGCCAAAACACACCTCCATTGTAACATGCATTCTTGTAGCATCATATAGGCACAGCAGAAGATGTGCAGCCCCTATTAGTGCTTTCCCCCTGGTTTCCTGAATCAGGGGAGATGTGCTAGGGTAACAGCTTTGACTTTCTGCCAGTCTACTGCCACCACAAGTTGATACTGCACACCCTGTAGATGCTCTAGATTGTCTGTATTTTACTGACCTTTCATAAGTTTGGAGCTGAAGGTGTCTGGTACAGTTTTGCGTCACTGCAAGGAGAAGAGATGAACTCCATTCGTGCTTGTAGCAGCAGGTCTTGCCCAAAGAATTTAACTGCGTGCGATACACCACTGCAATCAGTTCCCTTGTGATTCCTCTCCAATAGTCATGTGCTCAAATATTAATGGTCATATTTGATCCAGATAAATGTTTGGAAGACGAAATAAAGACACAGATTTGTTCTGCATTTCCTTAAGTTTCCACACCCTTTTTCACCAGTCAGCCAAAATATATATACCCATCATTTTAAGATGGTTTTAATATCCAAGCAGACATTAAGTACGATTCAGAAAAGGCATAATAGCAACAGTATATTACCAAAACTTGCATTGCTTTAAATGCATGTTAAAAATCTAGCCGCAGGCTGGGTTACTGATGTGCCATACCTACTGCATGGAGATTTTTTTCCCCGTGTTCTTTTCTTGGTCCTTATTCATCTCTCTTCTAACACTTCGGCTGTAAATGCTTGTTGCTCTGTGCCCTGCCCTTCTCATGCTGGGTTCCCGGCCTTCACCTGAAGTCTTAGATGCTACAATAATATAAAAACAAAGCAGTTTGAGAGGAAACACAAGAAAGCCTAAAAGGAGACAGTAGCACAGGACTTAGTCATGTGTATAACCCCTGAGAAGTGAGGACTGCACCCAAATGATGCAGTGTCTCAGTCTACATAGTTGGTAACACAGAGGTCATCTTGTCATCCAGAGATAGTTTTCTCTGTTTTTTTTTTTTCTCCTTACTGGAGCACCAGCTATAGGTGCACAGCAGAAGCCAATAGATTTGCCTTTAAAAAACACAACAGAAGCACAGATGAAGAACTATGTCTCCTAGTTAATACATGATTAATTTCTATTTCATGGTAAAGTGATGCAGAAGATATCCCTCAGACAAACCACAGGATGCAGAAGTCACCAGATTAAGAAGGTGTCATGGTTTAAACCAGGGATAGAGTTAATTTTCTTCATAGTAGCTGGTAAAATACTGTGTTTTGGCTTTAGTCTGAAAATAATGCTGATAACACACCAGTGTTTATGTCCTAATCTCAGCAGAGTTGCACAGGTATGCAAGTTCCTTTCCATCAAGAGCTTACAGCCAGCCCCAACAAGGCAACCAGGAGAAACAGACCAGCAAAAGTGATGCTGACAAGCCCTTAAGTCAACAAGCATTGGGAAGACCCAGAAATAAGATATGTAGTTTAAAGCGTTCGTTCTCTAGTCTTCATAGATGTCTAACAGTGAAGGCTGATCACAGCGGGCAGCAGCATCAAGGTGACAACCCCCAGATTAACTCCATGGTAAGAACAGGTTACAGTCAAGGTCAGAGTATCACATAGATCAGTCTCCAAGGTTTAGCCTGTAGCTCACATGAAATTTTAACAAGAAAAGCACAATCAGAAGAGGAACAGGCTTTAAAATAACTAACATAAAAGATAAATAGAAGCTTCTCTCAGAGCACAGGACCATTGAATGGTTTGGTTGGAAGGAACCTTAAACATCATCCAGCTCCAGAACCACCCTGCCACCCCCTCCCACCTCCCCCTCAGGTTGCTCAAACTCCCATCCAACCTGGCCTTGAACACTTCTAGGACTGGTCACCACCATTCCTCTGGGCAACCCTGTTCCAGTGCCTCACCACCCTCACAGTAAAGGAATTCTTCATTACATCTGATCTAAATCCACCCTCTTCCAGTTGAAAGTCATTACCCCTTGTCCTATCCCCACCTGCTCTTCTAAAAAGGCCCTTTCAGATCTCTCAAGAAATAGCTTTCATTACAATAATTTTGGATCTGGTAACAACCACCAACGTGTTCATGAACACCATAAAAGCAAAAGGAAATTTAAAGGGGTCTTCTATCTAAGCTTATTGAGGCTACAAAGTAATCTTTCAAAGAGACTTTTTTCTTCCTACCCCACACCATGCAGGATCTCATCAACCTTGTAAGTACAGCACGTATACCCTTCTCACTCTATATCCATCTATTATATTTCACAATCATTTAACATTATGCTAGTTACATTTCATCTATACAAGGAATGCACATCTCATAACAATCATACATGTGGTAGGCATTTCACATCTCATACGACAACCAATTACAGCTTCAAGAGTTATTTTTTCTTTCTGTGGCCATACCTTTCGGGATAAAGAGCGTGACTTCAAGGATTTTCTCATCTAGGGGAAAAAAAAAGAGCCACCAACCTCCCTTTCCCTCAAAACCCTCTTCCCTCCCTGCCCCTCAATAAAGGACGTAGGAAAAAGAGAAGGGAATCCCTGTTGCTACTGAGCCAGATCAGGGGAAGGATTTTGCAGAACAAATTCTCTGGCATTTTGCTCTTTTCATATTTTTAAACATCTAATGGCAACTGTTTAACACATTTCTAATTGAAAATGCACAATAATAACTAAAATAGGAGTTTTTCATTTAAAAAAAAACAAAACTATAATTATGTCTTTTGCTTTGTTTGACAAAGCTATGATTTTTACCCAAACACATGACCAGCCCTCGGGTGGTCTATTCATAGCAAACAATGTATTGTCCTGGGCACACAAGAAGAAAGAAAAGATGTTTTTTAATTGAGCCTCAGACTTCATTTACTTAACTTTCATGGAAACTACCAGTAATAACTCATAGAGGGCACACCATTATTTCTTCTTTCATCAACTCTACATGATCAAATGCTACTATTATCGGCAGCTTCTTTCTCATGTACTCAGTTATGTTCAACACTGGGACACTACCATCCTCTTTGTATAAGGGTTAAAAAGCCAGAGGGAGGAGGTGGTTTCTTCACTACATCTGACAAAGAAATACCCAAAATCCATTGCCAGGTTTACCAAGAGATTTCTTTCTTGAAGTTTACTTTCAATTCTTAAGCCACAGATGGCATGGTTGCTTTACTCCTTACCCCACAAACCCAAATAAAGCACTAAAAAAGATGGCCAACTCCTTTCCTAAGATTAGGTAAAAAAAGCCATCTCTACAACCAGAAAACAGTACTTTTCTTCTGGATAGCTTTGAGATTAGACATAATATCGTGAATCTAGTGAGTGATTTTTTACCATTCTCAGAGTCAAAAATCTTTAGAAGTGCCCATCCAAAGCTGCTGAGACCAGCCTGGCAAAAAGTCACTTCAAAGCTGTTAACTGAAAATGGAATTTCCATAACAGTAGTGTCTGAAGACATCTGCTGTTGAGGTTACCAGTTTGAGGAAGTCCTGTTCATTTATGCTGGATTGGTCATACCTATTGAGCAGAAAACTGGTCAAGAGACAAACAGGGTGTCTCTGGGCATGGGACTTTTTAGTGAATAGTTCGTTTCTATGGACTATAAGAACAAAGTGAGATGGAGCAAGTGGGCATGCCAAGCTGAGCAGCTTTCCAAGCAAGCCACCATAACCTGCTTGCTCTGCTTCCCTGGAGACTCCACCAGCTCTTAGGATTGCTTAAAATCATTCCCATGTTCTCCAGCTGCCCCCATCTTTGCACTCATAAACCATATTCTGCAACTCTTGCATCACCCACCTGAACAGAGCAATTGCAGGTCATGTCTCCCTTGATCAGAAAGCAAGTTGGTCCTGTCCATCTCATCTGAAAGCCATGCTCTCCTCAGTTTAAGTCTGCAGAACCAGGACACCCAAGACAGCCTGTTTAACCTACCTGCAGCAGCATATATCCACTGTGAAGCACTCTCTCCAGCAATGCATGTGTATTTCTGCCTTGAAAATAAGTTTGCTCAGTCTGTATGCCAGCCAGCACACCATGTAACCAGCATGCAACCAATATGCACATTCAGAGACTCTGGGACTCAAGCTTTAACTCAAATTCATGGTCAATCTGACAGAATTGATAGTCCACAGCTTCCAGGATCATGATTACTGTAGTTGTTTACCAATGGTTTGATACCTGCTAAGTGTGCCTGCATTTCACAGAATGAACTGAGAACAAACACATGTAGCCACACAACTGTGCCCTCCCCTTAAGGATTCTCAGATGTAACACATTTTCCCATTTACATTTTCCCATTCCACTAACATTATTGAAGAAACGTTTCATTTTCAGTTGTATTTTCAGAAGGCTAACAAGGGGCTCATGAATACATCAAAGCAAAGTCATATTATTCATTTACACAAATGTTTCTGATTATTTTTCCTCCGACCACTCAGACAGCACTTT